GCATTAGTTGACTGAGAGAACCGTCAAGAAAAAAGTTTAGCGATGTTACGACTAGTATAATATGCCCACGGCTGTGATTGACAACCTGGACAGCCAGTCAGAAGCTAGAATGCCAACCTAGAGAGCCAATCAGAACCTAGAACGGGCTGCAGGGCTGGCCAGACTATTATATTGTGCATACAGTTAGATGCATTAGGATAGAGTCATATGCTCATGATATTCCAAGTTAAATTATATAATATTAATATTATAATTTTAAATAATTATATTCAATAATATTAATATTCAATAATATTAATATTGAATAATAAGGACACTTCACTATTGCATTCATTTTAGTGATTGACATTACTGTGCATGATATTGTATTCCTTGAAGTTGGTTATTTAATACTGGACAAGTGCTCTCATAATGACTATTAGAATCATTTGTTGGTTAGATCACATGGCATTGATTGAATATCTGAGCTGCATGTGCATTGGCACTTCTTTTTGTTCACAGCCAGGCACAGGCAACCATTTTTGACTATACCCATTTGCTGTACTTTGTCCTTAATCCCAATTGTACATTCACGTTACCGACTCCTATAGTCAGCCACTTTGACACACTTCACACATGACACGGACATTTTTAAGAAACCTTAACTAAAGGAAGGTTTCATTTTGCACCTTACTCCTGTTGTCCATCTCTTTTATGTTATGGCTTGACTCTGGGGAATCTAGCCATAACAGTATGCAGTATATGAGCATAGTAGATGTATCATTTATCTGTAGGCTACAAGGGTGGCCCGCATGCGTGGGCGGTGGCCCGGTGTGTGGGCCGGTCCGTCTGAACGTCCCGGGCTGAATTTGTGTCCCAGTCCGCCCCTGTTATCAGCATATGGAAGTTCAAACTTTGTGTGAAGAGGAGTAGTTTCAACATAGTCTGCCAAATCAGCTCTGTGGCCTTGAAGCGCTTGAGAATAATAACCCTCATTAGAGTATGCAGAGAAAACGGCACATATCAAGAAATGGTACAGTAGTGTTGGACAATGCTTTTAGAAGCATTTGGTTTTAGCATATAAGGTAACATAAGAAATTGCCACTACATTCCCCCCCTTTTGATCATATTTGATCAATCAAAAAAATAAAACAAATGACAGGATAGACTGATATAACACATCAATGAATACACTCCATCGCTGTTTTAAGTAAACACATCATAAACATATCATGGAAAGTGGCTGTTTTTGTGGAGGACAGACTCCGTATGTGGAAAACAAAAGAATACTGAAACGAGGGAATGGCAATTTTACACACAATTTTACAGTTCGGTGTCCGACTCTTCAGTATCGGAATCAGTGGGGGCTGAATCTGGGTTGGCCGTAACATTGTCAGTGGTTTGAGGGAGAGCGGTGTATTGTACAAATGCAGAGGAGATTATACTAGAAAAACATTTCTTCATGAGGGGAACTACACAGCATGTACAGCAGAAGAGCAAGGCTATGATGGTGAGGAGTGGCATGACTATTCTGGCCAGCCAGCCTTCCCACCCTCCCGATGTGAGCCAGGACCACCAGTCCCAGCCTACAGGGTCGTAGTCCACGTTGTCAGCCTTCATGTCTGCCAGAAGTGTGTTAAGGTGTTTTATGGTGCGAGTCAAGTTCTCTGATATGTCTGGAATGTATGTACAACAAGAGTCTCCGATAACGTGACATAGGCCCCCCCTTGAGGCAAACAGGATGTCTGGAGCAAATTGATGTTGCATTAGCATGTTTCTAGTCCAGGTGGGAGTTAGCTAATTCTTGTCCGAGGGGCTCCATCTTCAATCACTCGCCAGTGATCAGGCACAAAGTTTATGTTCTTGGTGTCGTCGTCTCCTTAGTGGATGTGTCTAGTCTGACTGAGCCCGTGCCTTCATGACCAAAAAAAAAAAACACAGCTGGCTGTCGCCCATGATTCTTGTGTGCGGTACTAGGGTGTATGTACTGCGTGTGTGGTGTTGGTGGTGACTTGGCACGTCACTTGTCGTCGTCTGTTTCTGCTGGACCGGGGCGGAGATGACAGCTTTGCAGTGGCTGGCGTGGACCCACGTGGCTCTCTCTGCGACCTTGACCGCTGTCTGGGTGACGAGAAGCACCTGGTAGGGACCTTGCCAACGGTTGGATTTCCAGCTCTTTCTCCGGAAGTCCTTGATCAGCACGAAGTCGCCTGGTTGGATAAGGTGGAGTGGACCAGTAGCAGGGGTAGGTAGAGCTGCCGCTACCTGGCGTCTAATATCTGCTAAATTGGATGACAGGTTAACACAATATGACAACATAGCATCCTCACACAAAGTTGTGGAGGGGAGAGGACATCCTGGCGCCTTGATCCCAATCTGTGGAGGAGCTGCAAAAAGGATCTCAAAAAGGCTGAGTTGACTCCGTGTTCGTTTCCGCATCCTCATGTACATCAGCACAATGGGCAGGGCTTGTGTCCAGGATAAACCTGTGTCTGCGCAGCATTTTGCTAGCTTGTTTTTGATTGTACCGTTCTCTCTTTCAACCGCACCATCACTCTGTGGATGATAAGCACAATGCTTTCTGATGTCCATGCCAAGGTATTCTCCTATCTGTGCAATGGCCTCATTAGCAAAATGTGAACCATTGTCGCTAGACATCTTGCTTGGTATTGTAGGAGCAAACACAGTGCTGGTGGCTTAAAGCCACCTCCGCTCCGCGCCGTCTGTTAGATGAGCCTGGTCAGATTTAATAAAAGGAGTTCAAAACACCGGAATAAAAGTTATAACAATAATCTGATTTTAATGGTAAAAAACACCAATACAAGTTACAGAGTACTCTGGACTCCCAGTTCTACTGCTGTGTGATACAGATATCGGGACCAGCCAGTCAGAAACAGGGGGCATCGTGCATGAATAAACATCAGCATACATAGACATATTTGGGGGCAGAGTTGTGTCGGTTTCTCTGCACCCCCAAATCTCGAATTGGTCGATTTCACTCCTAAGCGAATCAGAGAGTCCGTGGGGAGGAGTTGTGTTGGTTGCTCACTCCCCTAGGTGTTCTTATTGGTTGGATTCACTTCTGGTCGGGCCCAATACAGCGAATCAGAGTTCTGGGAAAAAGTATTTTACTTCTGAACAGAGCGTGAGAGCTTCGGAAGTAAACAAGGACAGAGTCAATCTTTATCTTGCACCTGAATTCACTCCTTTACTTTCCCAAGGAATATTTCACACAAACTATTCTTTCCCAGACAATCAAACATTGTACACAGATATATTGGTGTCTGAGATTATATTGGCCCCAGAAAGAACCTTGAAAAGAATATGTGTGTGTGCTGGTATCTGGGTCAGTGAGTGTAAGTAAGGTTATATATATATATATATATATATATATATATATAACCTTACTTAAACCTTTCCATTTACCAAACATGTTTGTCATCCATTCCTCCATAGGATTGTTGATCCCTGATTGTTCATGCATGGTTTTAGATAGGGTGCGTAGACCCTCTAAGGCTTTAGTCACGGAACTGTCAGGCGCCGTGTTGTTGGGAATAAACGTGCAGCACATATCACCGAACATTGCGCAAACACCCCCTTTCGCCGCCAGAAGCATATCCAACGCCATTCTATTTTGTATAGCCATAAGGGAGGTAGGCCCTAACTGTTCAGCTAGGCCTTCTACTGCGTCCCTAGTGAGGTTTGCTAAACGGAGGACATTGTAATGTACAAAGTTAATCCTGTCTACATTTTTGTTAGGGGTAATGGGAAGAATAGCTGAAATGATAGGAATATTTTCGAACCCTGCCGCGATCTGGTCAGCTAATTTGTACTCATTAGGGACCCCCCGAGGGATTCCTATGGAGTCAATGTAAGTAGGGGAGTTACTGGAAAGGTCAAAGTTGACCTCTGCGTCTCTTTTGTTTAAGACGTGTCTTCGCCGTCGGTTGGCTAACTGACCGTTCGAGACGTGTTTCGCATCGAGGGGAATTAATCTATCACCTAGTAATGTCAAAGGGGCATGGAGGCGGGTCATTGCACAAAGTCCTATTGATGCTTCCGGAATTCTGGTATACAACCGTCGGCCGCCACAATAATAGTAAAGCCCACTGACCTACCATATTACCTGCTAGAGTGCTGTTGCACCAGTCAGAGGAAACATTACCCAGATTAAATTTAGGGGAGGCGCTGGTTAATTCGAAACAAGTGTATCCCCCTCTGCCTTTTCTTGGAGTAAAGGGTCCTGTTTTTGTGCCATTATCAATCGGTGGGAAAAGGCTGGCTAAGGTTGTACAGTTTGATGGGCTAGCCATTTGGGTAAGTTTTAACATACAGTTGTAACCCCAGGTATCTGAAGGGAAGAGAGGAGCTGGGTCAGTTATCAAGTGGGGACGAGCGGTCGCGCAAGCTAAACAATCACCTACCATTTGTTCGTGAGCAGTCCCAGCAACCCATTTTAACCATAGGTTAAATGTTAATACATGTTTACATGTTTACTTTAATACAGTTTAGAACAATATCTGTTAGTATCCCCCATCTAGCAATAATTTCCCTTAGTAAAGCTTTAGCCACAGCATTTGCTGTTTGTGCGTTTACCGGAAATGCTTCAACCCATTTGGACCACATGTCAAACGATTACAAGACAGTGTTTCTTACCCTCAATGCTTCTGAGCAGTTACTGTGAACCCCTTTGTGTACCAATGTTGATTAATGGCCTACATCCCCCCTTTTGACACATGGTCTAACCCATGTGTCAATTTAGCACATTTCCTAATGAGACGGGGTCAGTGTTGCTGGTGTGTGCAGAGCATTTACATACTGCAACTTCAGACGGGAGCAGAATGGCGTACAATAAGCCTGCAACTAGGACATGGTTAAGTACTGGCTTTCCATCAGAGTAAAAAAAATTGTCTACACTTCCAAATAGCGCCAAAATCATGTACTACCCCGAAAGCATAACGTGAGTCAGTGTAGATAGTTAAAGATTTTGCCTTTTGCAAAAGTACAGGCCTCAGTGAGCGCTACGAGCTCTGCTGCTTGTGCTGAGAGGTGGCATGGGAGCGCTCCGGAACGGAGAACAGCAGAATCTGAAACAACAGAGAAACCCACCCGATTAGTACCCACAGGGTCGCGAGAGGCGGACCCTTCAACATACAAAATCAGGTCAGGGTTGGTCAGGGGTACATCTTTTAAGTCAGGTCTAGGAGTACATACAATAAGAAGCTCGGCAACACAGTCGTGTTCGTCACAGTCTTCTGGTAGGCATAAGAGATGCGTACAGTGGTACATTGTTTGACTTCAACATTAGGCATGTTTAACAGGCATGTGTGATACCTAAAATAACGTGCAGCAGAGAGGTGTGATGTTCTCTGTTCACAGAGGATGAGAGAAACAGCATGTGGAACCAACAGTGTTAAAGGTACATAACCTACAATGTCACGTGAGGAGTTGAGAGCTTTTTCAGCTGCAGCAACTGCACAGAGACATTTTGGCAGGCCAGCAGCTACAGGGTCTAGCTTGGAGGAGAAATAGGCAACAGGCCTCTGTTTTCCCCCATGATCTTTAAGGAGAACTGAGGTCATACACCCATCGCGTTCATCCACTGCCTGTGTAAAAGGCTTGGTAGGATCAGGTATACCTAGTGTCGGCGGGGATTGGAGAGCCAGCTTCATGTTAATGAAGGCTTCGTCAGCTTCCGGTGTCCATATAAGGCGATCTGCAGGTTTCAAACCGGTGACATGCGTGATTGTACGGAGTGGTTGTTCGAGCGGAGAATAGTTAGGAATGAATGGCCTGCAGTATGAACACATACTAGGGGTGTAACGGTATCCGTATTCGTCCCGTACCGTCACGGTTCGGACGTCACGGTTCGGCACATGCAGTCACACGGAGAATACGCCTTTTTTTACGAGTGGGAAAAAAGTCTGTCACTCAGGGCAGTATTACACTATATATAATCCAGGGGGCGGTATTGCGCCTAAAAGCCAGCCGCCCGTAAATAACAAATGAAGAACAAGAACAAAACACAACAAAACGAACACAATACATGAAGAAGAAAAGTTAGTAGCTATGGCGAGTTCACACAACACACAGGAGCTAGAAGACCCACCTGCTTCTTTTAAATCAGGTGTGTGGGAACATTTCGGGTTCCCTGTGGACTACAACAATGATGGGGTGCGAGTTGTGGATCGGACGAGGACAGTGTGTCGGCGTTGTTCGACAGCGGTGCGGTATGCTAGTGGTAACACGTCAAACATGCTCAATCACATCCGAGTCAGTCTCAGTCGCCAGCGAGAGGGTTTTCTCGACGTCAGGTGACATAGGGCCCTTCTCTTATTTTTCATTTCCTCGCTCCTCGGTCTCGGTCTCACCGGAAGTTGATTTGTCTGCGTCATCTTGAGTAGCGTCCCAATGGCCTTATTTCTGCCGGAGGAGCGAGGAGCGATAACGGAGGAGCTATAACCTAGGAACCACCAGACCATCCTTCGATGAAATCCTCAGACACTCGCCCCGCCCCCTTACTGTGTATCGCTCACTGATTGGACGATGCAGCGCATGCACTGATCTGATGCTTCTTGACATGAGAGCAGTTTCCCAGCGGAGTGAAGAAAATACATGAACCTCACGGGAGTCACTCCTCAGTTTATACGGTGTTTTGCTTCAATTCATGTATCATTTAGTTACACATATGTGATATATCTGAACAACAAAGTGGTCAAAAATCATTTTATTCATTTTTTGGAAACATTTTCATGATCGCTTTTTTCGCTTTACATTTTCATTTATTGTCATTTCCATTCAGTCAGTCATTAAGTGCTATTTAAAATGTTAATGTGCTACATATCCACACAAACAAAGTGTGCAATCCAATGAATGTTAATCTAACTGGGTTTTGATAGATAACATATCTCTTTCTCTTCTCTCAATTATTTTATTTCTATTGTGCACTCTAATCAATATTAATCCAACTAATGTTTGTTTATATATTTTAAGAAAGGCGTTTATCTTTTTTGAGAATTAGTTCTTATTTGATTTTATTTATTGGGGTCTACAACAGATGATACATATGTTTGTGTCAGTAAATGTGTACTAACAGAGGCGGGGGTGTTTGTGAAAATAACGGGGACAGAGCTGCTGTCAGACGATCAGCTGTGCGGCGTCATCAAACGGACGTCGCTTCCCGTGACGCTCCGGAGGAAAGGACGTCCCATTGCTCTTAAAACTCATTTCCCTGCTTCTCGTGGTTTCCTTGCGTCTCTCCATGCTTCCCTGGTGGGAGGGACTAGTCACAGGGAAACAACGCAAGTGAGGGACGCAAGGAATCCATTTAACCGAAGTGAGAAGGATCTGCCCTCACTACTGACAACGTAGACAAACTCATCTTTTTGAAGAAAAACTTGAAAATAGAGTAAAGCTTGAGTACCTTTTATTTAGGCATAATGGCCTCACCCACTCACAAGTTAATTACACATGTTAGACATTGCTCCTAAAGGTACAGATTTTATTTTGTTTTATATTTATCATTGTATTTATTTTATATTTTGACATCAGGAGATGTTATACAGTTCTGTATTGCCTTTTATTGATTGTGATTGAACCACTTTCTTATTATTTATTTTAATATTTTCAAGACATTTTTTTTAGTTTGACATCAGCCATTATAAATAATATGGCCATCTGAGTGTGTGTTACTGTTTGTGGTTTGTTTTTAACTGTGTAATACAGTTAATGATTCCAAATGTTAGAGTTACTTATTTTCATACCAAAACGTGCACTACTGTTAAAAATAAATAACAGCAAAAAAATTATGCATTTGGGACTTTATTTTGCTTTTCCTTGTTGTACCGAACCCGTACCGAACCGTGACCCCCAAACCGAGGTATGAACCGAACCGTGACTTCTGTGAACCGTTACACCCCTAACACATACCCAAAAATGACATAATCTGTCACTTAGTGACAGGTTTTGGCAGAGCAGCCAATGATGCAATACGCTTATCTGAAAGCGTTTTTCCCTCTCCTGAAATGATGTGACCCAGAAATGTAACTGTCTTTTGCACATATTGAAGTTTAGACAAACTGGCCTTGTGGCTGCGAGGTGTTTTAACAAGGAAATGGTATCAGCTACACACTGTTCTGCTGTGGGTGCGCAAATCATGAGGTCATCAACATATTGTATGAGAGCGGTGCCTTTGGAAAGTTGTAGAGAGGCCAAACTTTTACACAATGCTTGGTTGTACACAGTGGGAGATTCGCAGTAGCCTTGACACAAACGTGCAAATGTGTATGGCTTACCATCATATTCAAATGCAAACCAAAATTGACTGTCTTTGTGTACAGGGACACTAAAAAATGCATTTGAGAGGTCTACAACAGTGAAAAATGCTGCAGAGGCTGGAACCTGAGAGAGAATGAGATAAGGATTTGGAACGAGCGGCGCGCGTGCATGTACGGCTTCATTTACAGCTCGTAAATCCTGCACAAATCTCCATTCGTCAGGGGGTTTGTCCCGGATCTTTTTAACCGGAAAAACAGGAGTGCGGACTGGAGAATTATTACATGCAATAATCACCCCTTGTTTAAGCAGGGAGGTAAAAACTGGACGAATGCCATCAATGGCTTCACATTTTTAATGGGTACTGGGGTTGGTTGGGACGGTACGTAGACTTTGGAGTGATTACAACAGGTTCGGCAGAGCGGATTAAACCTACTTCATATTTGTGAGCTGCCCAGAGTGAGTATGGCACATCTGAAAGCGTGGCAGGAAGCTCAGAAATATGAGAATTACCCGTAAAGGCGGGAAAAGTGGCATCGCCAACGTCATCATCCTCAACCAACAGCAATGTGCGCAGAATGGCTACGTTCGTGCAAATTTCACGTGACATAGAGTATATAACATATTCTGTGTGTGTAGGTGCCCAATCAGTGACTGACTCCCAATCTTTAACGAGTGGACCCAAATCCCTCCATCTATCAGTGTGGCCCCTTGCTAGTGAAATGTGTAAGACCGCCCCTGGGATTTGATAAAGCTTGTGTTGTGTGGGTGTGAGTGTGACAGAAATAGCGCTGCGCAGTGAGCTCCAATACATTGTTTTAAGCATGATTTCGTCATTCACACATTCCAACAGAAACTATTCATCATAGTATTTGCATGTATCATCAGAAACGCTAGCAGTGCAATGTAAATGAGGAGCTTCCATAAACACAGCCAGTGAGGGGACACGTTGACGGGCCAAACGCAACAGTTTCTGAGAATCAGGAAATGTAGCAAGCCATTGATACACAAAACACAATTCCTCTTCAAATGAGAATTTTGGACCATCGTAGGGGATGGTCGTCTGACTTTTAGACTTTTTGTAGAAATTAGGTCAAGGCCAAACCGGAGGATCAAATCTCTGCCCAGTAAATGTATAGGGCAGACAGATGACAGAAGGAAACTGTGTTTGACTGATGTGGGAAATGGGTGGCTGTCATCACCGTTATCTCTACACTGGACTGGTACTGAAAACTTCTCCTTCATAGTTACACCTGCCGCTTACACCTTGCTCCTATTGAGTGGATATATACCACTAAATTTACAATTTGGCAAATCTGCCATTTTTACCACGGAGTGTGTGGCCCCTGAGTCAACCAGAAAAGTTAAATCAGTGCCCATAATTGTCAGTGAGTGTAGGACATTTCTTAAATGAGGCTTGGTCATAATTTACATATTGTGAGGTATCTATATTACTTTGTAAGGGTAAAACCCCAGCTCGGTTCAATAACCAAAATCCAGTGAACAGAGATAACAGTACTCGAGTTTCAAGTTTACTTGCTGCAAGGAGAATCGGCGAGTGACATGCAATGTCAACTCCTTAACCAACTCCGCTCGCCTTCTCCCATTGCATTCTTTTTATTTCAACAATACAGTAACATGACAATCATGTGGTGTTGACCAACGCCTTATTTGTTAGTGTGAATCTTGTGACTCTCAGTCATGTGAATCTGTGTGTGTGTGTATGTGTGCCATTTGAACAGACTATTCTCTGTTCCTCCATTATGCTTCTTGTAACACAGCAATGAGAATACATTATGAAAACACATTTATCCTTCAATAAACTCTAACATTCCCTCCTGTTTTTCATAATTACTAGCTGGTTACAGTGTCTTTATTGTCATTAGCGTCAGACCCATCAGGGTCACTACACACAACACCTTTCCCAACATAGTATATTTGTGATAGTGGTTCTGTTGTTTTCTTCACCGGGGTTGAGACCAGTATTTCCTAATGAAACACCGCCCTTTGTAGCCGGACTTCCACCACTTATCCATTGTTAAGTTGGAGAGGTATTATCTTTTTGCAGTGGCTCTGATGTATCCACGTAGTTCTTTCGGCGATTTTTAGTGCAGTCGGTGTTGTCAGCAGTACCGTGTAGGGACCGTCCCACCGTGGACAGTGCCAATGCTTCCTCTTAATCACCTTCACGAGGACCTGGTCACCAGTCTGCACTCGAATATCCTGTAAGGGGGTAGAAATGTCTGGCAAGTTATTTGTTCGAGCTATCTCATTGCTTCTGAAGAGTCTGCTCATCCATTCAGCTAATGTAGTCTCTGCCTCAGCATCATCCTCCTCCCTCACCTCGTCTGTGATTGGTAGTCTGAATTGCCTTCCTGTTATGATCTCAAAGGGAGACAACCCTTTTGTCGTGGGCGTGATTCTCATGCATGTTTCTACTAGAGACACACATTCCACCCATGGTCTTCCTGTTTCTTCCATTGTTTTCCTTAGTCTTAACTTTACTGTTCCGTTTGTTCTTTCCACTAAGCCTGCACTCTGTGGATGATATGCACAATGGTTTTTTAATGTTATCCCCATATGTTCGGACAGTTTGGTAATAACCTGATTTACAAAATGGGACCCATTATCACTGTACAGTTTCTCTGGAATACCTCTGTTTGGTATTATTGTCTTGCATATGGATTTTGCTACGGTAATAGCGTCTGCATGTTTTGCTGGGAATATTTCAACCCACTTTGAAAACGGACATATCATTACCAAACAGTATTTGTACCCTTGGCATGGTGTTAGTTCGATGAAGTCCATATGCATGTGTTGAAACGGGTATGTTGGTGGAGGAAACTTTCCTCTCTGTGGTCGCTCATTGCCTTGAGCATTGTGTCTGCAACATACTACACAGGCTCTACAAAAGTTTTTAGAAAATGTAATGTAGTTGTATGTATGGAAGTGTTCATTTATTATTGTCACCATCCCTCCTGTTGAGACATGGCACGGCCCATGACTCAAATGAGCTGCTGTTTTGTAGAGACTAACAGGGAGTACTATCTTGTTGTTTATTCTGAATGTTCCCTCAGGGTCTGTGGTTGCACTATCTGTCAACCATTTCTTCTTTTCTCTGTCGGGTGCGCTGTTCTGCATATCCCTTAATATCACAAGAGGTATCGGTTGTGAAACACTTTCCCCCTTCTGCAAGAGGATATGGAACCCATATTCGCCCATAGCTGCTAGCTTTGCTACCTTATCCGCGTGTGCATTGCCAAGTGTTACTGCATCCTTCCCACTGGTGTGCGCAGCACATTTGCATATAGCGATGCTTTTCGGCAACAACACCGCTTTTAAAAGATCAGTCAGCAGCTGTGCATGGGTGACTGGTTTTCCTGTTGACGTTTTCATGCCCCTGCGGGCCCATTGGGCTGCAAATATATGTACTGTTGAGTGCGCATACTGGCTGTCTGTCCACATAGTCACATCTTTTCCAACCCCCGCTTTGCATGCTTCTGTAAGAGCTACTAATTCCGCTGCTTGTGCAGAATATGTGTGGGGGAGTCGGCCTGCTTTTATGACCTGTGAGTGTGATACAACTGCAAACCCTGTTTGATTTTGGCCTGTTATAGATTTAGAACAGGACCCATCCACAAACCATGTTTCGCCACTGAGTAGTTGTATGTCTTTCAAATCTGGTCTTGGTTTGCATGTTCTGTCAGTCTCTTCTTTACAACAGTGTGGTTCTCCATCTTCTGCTGTAGGTATTAATGTGGCTGGATTTAAGATATTACATATTTTTATCACAATGTGTGGTTGTGACATTAGTGTAGCTGTCAGTGCCAAATAACGTGCAGGTGATAAGAAAGCCATTTTGGTGTCATGTAACAACATGGTGACTGCGTGTGGAACCATCAGTGTGAGTGGGTGGAACAAAACTATTTCTGCTGTACAATGTACCGCCATTGCTGCAGCGCATACTGCTTGTACGCATACTGGTAATGCTTGTGCTACTGGGTCTAACCTTTTAGAGTAGTAAGCGACAGGCCTTAGTTTTGTGCCGTGTTTTTGGGCCAATACTGATGTCATAAACCCTTTTTTGCAGTCAACTGTACAAATGGTTTTTCATAGTCTGGTAATGCTAACACTGATGACCCTACGAGACACTGTTTAGTCCTTTCAAATGCAGCTTCTGCCTCTTGTGTCCATTCTATCTTGCCGGACATTTTCATGTCATTGTCTGAGTATATGCAATCTAGTAGGGGCTGAGTCATTCCTGCGTAGTCTATAACCCATGCTCTGCAATAGTTAGTCAGCCCAAGGAATTGCATCATTTGTTTTTTTGTTGTTGGTTTTGGTGCGTTTAACACCGTCTGTTTCCTCTCTGAGTGTATGCGTCTCCCTTCTCGGTTTAAATTGTGGCCTAAAAAGATCACTTCCTCTTTCACAAACTGAAGTTTCTGTCTTGAAACCTTGTTTCCTGTTTTGGCCAAATGTGTCAGTACTTGTAGTGTGACTTTTGTGCTTTCTTCCTGTGTGGGTGACGCAATAAGAATATCATCTACATATACCAAAATCTGCGATGTGTCAGGTATCTGTAATGTAGCCAAACAATTTGCTATTTCTCGTGAAAAGATTGTTGGGCTATCCACATACCCCTGAGGTAATCTGGTGTATGTGTACTTTGTTCCTTCATGTGTAAACCCGAACCATCCTTGTGAGTCTTTTTCTACAGGAATGGAGAAAAAGGCATTGCTCAAGTCTATCACTGAGAACCATGCCATATTTGGCTTAAGGCCGTTCATTAACGTGTGTGGATCTGGTACTGTTGGGGCTGTGCTTTGTACAGCGTCATTTACTGCTCTTAAGTCTTGAATCATTCTCCATGACTGCCCATCAGCCTTTTTTACTGGGAAGATGGGGGTATTGCATGATGCATCAGGGCACTCACGCAGGATCCCTGCTTTTAGCATTTCTTCAATTACAGGTTTGATGCCAACTTTTGAATCCTCTTTTAAGGGGTATTGTCTTATGTTAGGTCTGTAGTTAGTTTTTGGTCTAACGTGTACAGGTTTTGCGTTCACCATGCGACCTACATCACATTTTCCTTGTGACCATACGCATGGCGGCACCGTTTTCAGGACCTCTAAGGCCTCTTCACTTAGCATACATCATTGTTGTTCAGGGTCGTCTAGGTGGGCGCGTGGTGTCATCACTAAGGTAAACCCTAGAGTTTTGCGCTTTAATCCGCCTCCAGTTTGCCAACCGTTTTTGTCATCTGTCCATTTTGTTATCCTGTTACCTCTAGCCACTAATAAACCTAAGTCTCTCCATGAAGTCCCTGGGCCCCTAGCTACTGATATGTGTGGCGTGGAACCTGGTTCCATTATCAAGGCAGTGGTTGATGGGACCCTAGCGTCAATTGCAACATCCCCGTGTTGGTTTGCATACATCGAGTGGAACACTACCCTCTGTGGTGTCAGTCGATGCACGAGCACATCATAGTCTTTGTCTGGGCCAGGGGTGTTCTTGTACTTTAGTGTAACGTGCAATGCGTCAGGTTTCATTACTTCTTGGCCATGTTGTGGGGTGAATAGTGTTAACAGGTGTTCACCTGTGTTTGTCACGTCAGGTTGTGGCATGTCTAGTGACCAGTAGTAGTTGGGGGTGTTTATGGATTTTTGAAGGAAGACCTGGTCTTCCACCTTTTCTCCGGGCCCTACTGCTCGCATTCCCCCTTTGACTGGTACTACACTGATTTTTAACATGTCCATGCCGTCTCTCCCTAGCAAATTGACAGGGCAGTTTGAGATGAACACAAATTTGAGGGATGCCTGGAGGCCTGACCTTCTATCTTCCATAAAAAGTGGCTTTGAAATCGACCTCTGATTTATGTGTCCATTTGCTGATTTTACAAACATAGTGCCAGTTGGTGGCCACATTCTTTGGACCTCTTTTTTCACTACTGATGAGTCTGCACCGCTGTCACATAAGAATTCTAATTTTTCCCCATTGATTTCGATTGTCCTGGTAGGTTTAATACTGTTGTCTGACAGATTCAGTAATACTTCAGAAAGGTCAATGTGATGTGTGTGGACGTCCTCTTCTTCCTTTCTACGTCTAGTCAGTTGTCATAACTATGTAGGTTATGTGAAGGGGGGGGGCCATGTCTCTCGTCTTTGTACTGTCCCTTTTGTCCCCCTTCTTTGTTCTGTGGTCTCTGTTCCTCACAGTCTCTCGCCATGTGCCCATCCTTTCCGCACCTGTAGCAAAGGAATTTGCCTTCTGCGTTTCTGCCTCCTCCTCTGCCTCTGCCTGTTCCTCTACCATTCCCTCGTCCTCTGTTAAACCCGCCTCTCCCCTGTCCTGGTCCCACAAAGAAAATCTGATTTTCTTCCCCATCTTCTCCTATGAAGAAAGCTGATGCTGACGCTTTCTTATGTCTTTTTTCTTTGATCTGGGATACCTCTTTCTCTTGCTTCCTTTTTATTCTTTGTTCCTGCGCTTTGTGTTCTTCCACTATCGCTCTCTCTTTCTCGCGGCGTACAGCGTCAACTGACCCTGAACGCCCTGTCTCCTCGTCTGCTTTCACTGAAACAGCCGCTGCTATCATACCTTCTTCTGCTCCACCTGTCCTTTTATGGGCTTGTTCAGCCCATAAAGCTGCAACCCGCAGTTGAGCTTCTAACTTCTTTCTTTTCTTGCCTTGTGTTGTTCCAGCTGTTGCTGCTCTCAATTTGTCGCTTAATTCTCTTACTGCTGTTTTCTCCAACTTTCCTCGGAAGCCGTACAGTTTATACCATTTGCTACAATAACTGGTGCTGCCATGACTATATATTTCCATATATCTCATGTTCCCTGTAGCGGCAGGCTTACTCCCATTGGACCCCATGATTCTAGCTTGGTGTTCCTACTGGACAACGTGCCGGTCAGAACCTAATTCCTAATTCACCACTAGTGTACTTCAACAGACCACAGAGTTTGTGTTATCACCGTTAGGTTTCCACTCTGTGCGCTGATTCCACTGGTGACACTTTTACACACCGCTTTCACTCAATCACTCATAAGTGTACCCAAAGGCACGTCGATCCTCCTCCTAGGCGGAGTAGCCTTTCTCTATCAACGTTTTATCAACCTCCTTAATGGCGGAGTAACCGTGTATATCAACGTTTTATCAACCTCCTTAATGGCGGAGTAACCGTGTATATCAACGTTTTATCAACCTCCTTAATGGCGGAGTAACCGTGTATATCAACGTTTTATCTTACCCGTTATCTGTGGTCACTGGTCCGGTTGGATTCCGTCAATCGTGCCTAGGATGAGGGAGGTTGGACATATAAGCACCGGCCCGGCCACGAATTCTGCGTCCCGGGTCTTTCTCGGGGTCGGCTGATGATCCCGGCTGTCGACAGACTGCGGCGTGTCTTTTCCCTCCTCCTTCCCGTCACGATGTATTGGACTCCGACTCGAAGGATCAATTAATGTGAGGTATCTATATTACTTTGTAAGGGTAAAACCCCAGCTCGGTTCAATAACCAAAATCCAGTGAACAGAGATAACAGTACTCGAGTTTCAAGTTTACTTGCTGCAAGGAGAATCGGCGAGTGACATGCAATGTCAACTCCTTAACCAACTCCGCTCGCCTTCTCCCATTGCATTCTTTTTATTTCAACAATACAGTAACATGACAATCATGTGGTGTTGACCAACGCCTTATTTGTTAGTGTGAATCTTGTGACTCTCAGTCATGTGAATCTGTGTGTGTGTGTATGTGTGCCATTTGAACAGACTATTCTCTGTTCCTCCATTATGCTTCTTGTAACACAGCAATGAGAATACATTATGAAAACACATTTATCCTTCAATAAACTCTAACACATATGTGCTTACAGTGGGTGTAGGTGCACACTATATTCTATCAATAGCTTGCATAATGTGTGTGTGTATCACTTCCCTTTTTTGAAGCTGCAAGCTGAATTTCCATCTCGCTCGATTGGGCCCCTTCCTCCCTTTTCTGGTGTAGGTCAGTCTAATTGTGAATGGCCCTGTCCACGCTGTCCCCCTCTGCCTCCGCTGCCAGTGTTCTGTGGGCAGTCCCGGATCCAATGTTCAACACTGCCACACTTGAAACATCTTTCGTCGTTTGAAGGTCTTGCTTCTCGTCCTCTGCTTCGGAAACCTCCTCTGCCTCTCCCTCGGTTTTGTGAGCGGCCAGCATTCTTACGCGGCTTGCGCTGTGGCTGTGAGTCCGTTGAGGAAGGCATTACTGAGGTGTGTCTCCCAAATGCCCACTTGGTCCCCTAGGGCATCGGGTTCGTTTATCCCGCTGTTGTCCCGGAATACTTGGGCCTGATGGAGGTGGATGAGCTTGGAGTTGACGGGGAGTCTGCTAACTGCATGGCTGGGGCTTGTAGTGGCGGGGGTGGTGGTTGAGGTGGGCCAGCCGGTTTGCCAGGGTTGTACGCCGGGGGAGGGAAAGGATACCCAGAGTCGAGGAGAGGGTCATTCAGGCCTGCAATGGAAGGATACAGAGATGTCTGGGGTTTACATGGTTTTGGAAATTCTTTCTTTTCCTTCTTTTCTTCACATTCATTTCCAACCTTAATATATATATATTTTTAACACTCAGGCTAACTGCCTCCTTTTGTGACATTCTGCCTCCCAATATTTCAAACACTTTCTGTGTCTTTCTATTTTTCCTAAGTCTTTCACTTTAACTTTATTTTGCTTCCTCATACCATCCTCATGAACTTGTAATTTTTCCTTTAGGTCTTTAATTTTTCCTTTTTACTCAAAGAACCTCCCTTTGGAAATCCGAACATTTCCATCCATATTTCCAACTCTGATAAACTGTCTTCACCATATTTGTCTCGCATGCCATCCACTATGGGCCCCGCTGGGGCCTCAGCCCCCTTACTCTTAAGTGTCAACCAAACACTGCTCACCCGTCGGTGATCTTATATTTGTTTCCTAGTACAAATCACAAAACTATTTTCCTTTCGTGTTGATCAGACACGTTTCACCCTGTCGGTGACCTTAGATTTGTTTCACTGGTACAAAACCCTCGCCGTAACTTTATTTACGTCGGATATTGCTAGTATCCTCTTTTGCGGTTAGCAACCCACTGCAGATGTCATGGAGTTTATTTACGTTTTACTTTTAAACAATTTAGAAATTGTACATCTCACCAGATATTTTAGAGGAATTGAGTTTGTTGGATCTCGTGAAGTCAATCGGTTTCACCCAGGCGCAGGTCCTCTCGTCCCGTAACACTTTTCTGTCGAGGTAGAGGAGAATCCGAGGATCCCGGCGCGACCACCAGCGTCCTTGAGTGTCCCCGACGGAGCGTTCAGAGATCCCGCTTCTGACACCAAATCTGTTGTGGATATTTTAAACTCGTCAATACTGTAAAGATGTACAATGAGAGTAATCAATAATAAACTGGTGAAAGCAAACAGCGTTGTCTTGTTGGTTATTTATTTGAAGCTTCAAAGGCACAGGTCTTACAGAGTATAGGATAGTCTGCAGGAGTGTGCACAATAGTCACAGAATAGCAAAGCTTATATACAAGATAGGGCGGGCAGACAGAGTTTTGTGTAAAATGGCGGAACGCCTCAGAAATCTGCTTTCACACGGATGTCTCATATTGCTATTAGACACCTGTGTCCTTGAGCTGCAGAAAGTATAACGTTTATCAGCATATGGAAGTTCAAACTATGTGTGAAGAGGAGTAGTTTCAACATAGTCTGTCAAATCAGCTCTGTGACCTTGAAGCGCTTGAGAATAATAACCCTCATTAGAGTATGCAGAGAAAACAGCACATATCAAGAAATGGTACAGTAGTGTTGGACAATGCTTTTAGAAGCATTTGGTTTTAGCATATAAGGTAACATAAGAAATTGCCACTACAACAGCTAATTTTATTTTAAGTAAAATCATAACTATTTTATGTAGTTTAATCATTTTTATTTAGGTGGTCACTCAGTTTTTCAAATATACACCACTCGCCAACAGGGGGTACTGCAGCACCCCCAGCACCCCTAGCACCCCTACTTCCCGCGGATATGGGCTTCCCTCGACAAAAAAGCAATGAGATTTCTCCATAGGATTTTAGAAAATAGCTCAAAATAAGATCTGTGGGAAACATACCTAAATGCACGTTCTGTTCAGCCGGATAATATCCACATATCTACCCTATTTTTATAATTTTCTAATCATAACTCTATCGATTAGATTTATGATAGACTTTTGAAACTACAAGAAGATAAGGAGGACTTTTACAAAAAAGTAATAGAGATTTTTGTCCAGAAGGATAGGCAAATGGACTTCATCTTCAAGTCAAGGTAAGACCGCAATTTTATTCAAAATGGGATCTTACTAAGAGAGAACAATTAAATATTTAAATGATAAAATTACATTTTTTGGGTATCCTTTTGTTGAACTGTCTGTTTAAAATTAATCGAAGCATCAGACAAAAAAAGCTTTTGAAAATAATATTATATTTTGATTTAGGTCAAATTATTATATTTGTAAACCTGAAGAGTCAGTACCGTCACTTGTGTCACAAAGCGCATTTGCGTACCGACGTTCTAGTGAAGCTTTTCCAGAAGGCGGTTAGATCACCGGACGACAGAGTCGGTCTCCGTGTGCACAGACAGGGCCGCTGTTAATGTCGGTCTGTACAACGGAATTGTGCCAAAACTACGCCAACCGGCTGCGGAGGGAGACTCCTCCCCTTCACTGGAGAACTGCGCTAAAACAGCTGATCACAACGTTAACACTCTGTGGTCACGAAGTACTCCACTAGCACCCCCCCCCCCCCCCCCCCCCCCCCCCCCCCATCGACTTTCCTGAAGTACTCCCCCGTTGATAGAAATCAACACGTAATGAATTAAGACCCCACGGTTTGATGATTGATAGGTGTGTGGGCTGTCTTTCATTTTGACACACAATTTTTTTTTATAATAAACATACATACTGTATGTTAAATGGATATATCCGCCTTCTTTCAATTATCTTTCCATTCCCACAACAATATACATAAAGAAATGGCATAATATTTTTAGACATAGTTCGAATGGTGATTAATCATGATTAATTCATTTTAAGCTAATCTGATTAAAAATTGTAATCGTTTGACAGCCCTAATAAATATAAAGAACAATTAAAACCAGAATAGTTTTCCTTTGTTAATCTACATGAAGTTTTTTCAGTATTCTGCGGAAAGACTATCTGTTTCTTGTATTGGTCCTCTTGTTACGAGTGCACACTTTTCACTATCATTTAGGACATTTGGCCATTGTGCAGGGTCGTCTGATGTGATCAAACCTTTTGTAGTCGTGGTAGTGCTGCTGGAGGTAGGGGTTGACGTGTCATCTTCATGATGAGAAGATGTTGCTGTCCCACTGGAGGCAGATGTTGACGCCCCACTGGAGGCAGATGTTGACACCCCACTGGAGGCAGATGTTGACGCCCCACTCAAGGTAGATATTGACGCCCCACTAGAGGTAGATGTTGACTGAACTGCTATGACCAAAAAAGAAACAGGGAATATCATGTTAAAAGGAATCTTTGGAGTGCAATGCACAGTATAATCAATTAAAAGTGGAATACTTAACTTACCATCATCAGCATTTGGAGGGGGCACCTTATCCTTTTCCGTTGCTGCTGCCAGAAACTTAAGAAAGGATCATGAGGACAGATAATAAAGTGAAACTTATAACATTAACAATTCAAAATGCTTTCACATTTTCAAATTCCTCATATTGAGCTTTCGAATGTTGTTCTTGGGGATAGCTTCCACTATTGTTTACTATTTCCATTTCATTTGAAAGGGACAATGTAAGTGAACATGGTTCCAATACAGAGGATTGTGCTGGAGCCTGCACTATGGCTACTAAGGTTGAAATATACAGTTTTCAGTATCATCATAAAACCACTAGGAGTACAGAGAAGGAAAATACAATAAAATACACTCAACACATAGCACACTAACTTAACAATAAGTTATTTAGAGTACACTTGTCCAAAGGTCTTGCATCTAAATGTCCTAATTTAACATTCATAGCTTGACAGTTAGCTCAGTCGGACACAGCTTCATCAGTTAACTAGCCAAACACACACACACACACACACACACACACACACACACACACACGCACACACACACACACGTTCTCACTCCCATCCCGTCACATATTGACGGACGGTCAGGGCCCCTCCCCGTCGCTATATTACGTACAGGGTCTACCCCTTGACCGTCAGGCTTCTACGGGCAGGGCGTCCCATAGACCTTCATTGCGGACAGCGGACCCCTTGACCGTCAGGCTTCTACGGGCAGGGCGTCCCATAGACCTTCATAGACCACGTGATCAACAACAATGGCCGACCTTCGTGTTATTCTCGGTGGAAAATGCCTATTTTAAGGTTCATTTGGCCATTAAAATGCGTGTTGTCATTTTATGCGAGTAATTAGTTTTTATTTCTGATTATTTGTGCAGTACATGTACATGATGTTTAGTTTGCTAGTTATGACGAAGATTACTTCATGAATGTGTACATTCATGGTTGCTAAGGTGGTTGCTATGGACGCTGCAACAGCTCACAGACCACGTAATCAACAACAATGGGCGACCTTCGTGTTATTCTCGGTGGAAAATGCCTATTTTAAGGTACATTTGGCCATTAAAATGCGTTTTGATGTCATTTTATGCGAGTAATGAGTTTTTATTTCTGATTATTTGTGCAGTACATGTACATGATGTTTAGTTTGCTAGTTATGACGAAGATTACTTCATGAATGTGTACATTCATGGTTGCTAACGTTTTTTTGGTGGAAATGTGTTTTTTCACAGCAAAGTCACCCTCTGTACTTGGACTTATTGGGAGAATCTAAAGGCAAGAACATCCCAAATATTCATTTAGGTCTTTATTTTAGACCTTGTTGTGAGAAAAATAAATGGGGTTCAGAGCCTCGTATTTTTTAAATCTTTTTTTCCTTCTAATTTGTTATTCTTTTCAAAATAACACACTGTTATTTACTCACCAATAACACACAATTATCCTTGCTTTTATTTATTGGTTTAGTTCCATAATCTCGGGCATTTTTGGCGTTCGTCAGGAACTGAATTTCAAAATAAAAATAACCGGAAACAGACGTAGGCATTTCGAGTGATTACCCAAGATCCTCAGCTACGCTGATTGGATGTTTTAGCCGCAATGCATGCTGGGATTTGGTGTTTATATTACATGAAATCCGGAAAACATTTTAAAAGAATAAAATAATACTTAATTCCGAGTGCTCTTGCTTTTCTCTTTGAAAGTCATCACATAACGGCATTGTAATACACGGTTCGGCTGCATTAAATATTACAGATCTGCCGTAGTTCTTTATTTATAGAGCCCTGATGAGAAGACCTTTGGAAAAACTGAAGAAATGCCGCCGAAACTGAATACTTGACGTGGATCATAAATATATCAACAATTAAAGAACATCTTCAATTTCTCTACACACAATACGTCTCCTTGCAGTATCAACACTAATTCGGATGATTTTACATTTGATATAATTCATAGATAGGTTATATTTACACCATAACGGTGTTATGAAGCGCCCTCCAACCTAACAAGGCCACTGGCCACGACAATATCCCCTCCAAATTCCTCAGAGACACAGCAACCGCCATCTCACCAGTCATAGCTCACATAATTAACCTCTCCATAAAACAGGGAAAAGTACCCAAAGACTTCAAAATTGCAAGAGTAACCCCCCTGCACAAAAAGGGCAGCAAATTGGACCCAGGCAACTACTGCCCTGTTTCTATACTTACCTCCATCTCGAAAGTCATGGAAAAAATAGTATATGAACAGGTCAAAAAGTACCTCGCGGAAAATAAACTAATCTATGAATTTCAATCTGGCTTTAGAACATCCCACTCCACTGACACATGCCTTCTTTATTTGAGCGACCACATCAAACAAGAGGTGGACGAGGGCAAGTACTGCGGCATGGTGATGCTGGACCTACAAAAGGCCTTCGACACTGTCAATCACTCCATTCTTATTGACAAGCTAAAAGCAATTGGTTTTGATAAACTATCGGTGAGCTGGATGCAATCCTACCTGGAGGGGAGAGAACAGATGGTGGAGGTAAACGGTACTCTGTCCCCCCCCCTCCCAGTGAGCTGTGGTGTTCCACAAGGAAGCATATTAGGTCCGTTACTGTTCCTAATTTATGCAAACGACATGTCATCAGCATGTGACTGCAATTTGTTCCTGTTTGCGGACGACTCAGCCCTGCTGGTCTCTGACAGGAGCAGATTGCAGGTTGAAAAAACCCTCAGCTCCGAGCTCGGCAGAATCTGCACCTGGCTCGCCGATAATAAATTATCATTACACCTGGGTAAAACAGAGTCCATTCTCTTCGGTTCGAAACATTATCTCAGCAAATCCGACGACTTCTCAGTTGCAGTGGGTGACATTATTGTCACAAGTAAGAAGGAAATTACATACCTAGGATATATTCTTGAGGCAAACCTCTCCTGTGACAAAATGGCATCCAATGTAATAAAAAAAGTCAATCAAAGAACTAGATTCCTATACCGGATCTCCTCTCTGGTAAACAAAAACACCCTGAAAACTCTGGCAGGAGCACTCATTCAAGGGTACTATGACTATGCTTGCACGTCATGGTACCATAGCACCTCCAAGGCGCTAAAAATAAAACTTCAAACATCGCAAAATAAACTGGTCAGACTACTGCTTGACCTTTCATCTAGAACCCACCTGACCTCTGCCCACTTTGACAACCTAGGATGGCTTAGAGTAGACGACAGAGTACAGATACTTGCAATGGGCCTGGTCTACAAGATCCACTACACCTCTATGGTACCCATGTACATGTCAAAATTCTTCCCAAAGGTCAAGGAATACCATGATCATAACACCAGAGGGAGCTCCACAAATCATGTGAAACCCAGATTTGGCACAAAAAAGGGGGAATACACGTTTCGCAATTATGCCACATCAAGGTGGAACGCTCTTCCCACAACTGTAAAGGAAAGTAAAACTATACTTACCTTCAAAACCTCTCTTAAAGAGCACCTTCGGGGGAGAGCATTGCAAAACTGGCCCCGGTAATGGTACAAATCTCAACCTGTCGTACATTGGACAGCTTCCCCCCCCCATCTATGTATATACTCGCATTTTAGACTCTGTTACTAACTGTATATCTGTAGACTTGGTATGTCTTAAATGTCCGGTTAGGATGTATTAGAACGAAATCTAAAATGAAAATTGTAAATAAGCAATCTGTATGTAAAAAACCACCTGTATGTAAATTGTAAATAAGCCATCTGTATGTCAAATATGTCTTATATGTCTTAAATGATATGATGAATTGGAAATGGGGGACCCTGATGTAAACAAGACGAAAGTCTTTCTCTGGTCTGCATCCCCTTAACAATTGTATGTTTCGAGCTGTACTGTACTGTACCAACTGTTGTGGAAATATTTTCCAAGGCCCATAACTTTGACCCAGTTTATCAGTTCAAACTGTCCTGACTGAGCACACGCACCTCGTAACCTTGGCTGCTGTACTCTCAGTGTTCGGTCTCCCTGTTCCTGCCTGTCGGCGTCAGCTGATAGAGGTGTTATGATTCTATGTTCCTGCCTGTTGACGTCAGCTGATAGAGGTGTTATGATTTTATCTTGTTATGCAGCAGTTTGATGATGTTCTCAGAACTAGTTAAATACATGGGTCTGAGGTAGAGTTCTTTAGAATTGACGTGGCAACCCACCCGTGCCGTCTCACCGGGACTGCTGTGATTTGTGATGTGAATGCTCCGGCCGAAACTCCAATAAATCATCAGTGTTTTGACATCAAAGCTACTGCTCCTACCGTGTCTCCTTCCTGAGTCGGTGACTCCCACTGCATTGCTACACAGAAGTTTCCCTTACACCCAATATACAAGCTGTTAATAAACTTTTCAATCAATCTATCAATCAAGCACAGCTGATATAAAAGGACTTGTAGTTTTTAAAGATATTACTGATTTGAATTGGATTGAATTTTGAATGTAAGAATGTAAATACTGAGTCTGAAATAGTATAGCAATATGCTGTAAAATTATGTGAAAGCATGAATAAAACTACACATCTTCAGATGTTGTACATACAAGTGTCCTACACTAATAATACAAAGTTATTATGGCTGTGTGTACCTTGTGTGCAGCGCCTAGTGGTTAAAGCACGTTATTGAATTATTGTTTTTATGTGTTATATTTGATTACAAAAATATTAAGAGTACATACTTTCATAGGGGGAAAGTAGAAGGTCTGTGATAGAAATATAGAATATAAAAAATCAAGAAGATACTATAAGTGATCTCTACAATAAAACAGTTTAGTGCAGGATGTACAAAGATATTAATAGGAGGAGGTGCAAAACTGAAAAACGAATTAACCTTTATTTAAACATTAAATAACAGATTAAGGTCTTCTTTTAAATAAGAAAAAAACGTTGGGGGTATCTATCTACAGATAAATATTAAGCCTGACAAAGTACTTAACGTCTAATATATTGCTTTCCTGCAATGTTAACTATGTTGAAGCACTTATTTTAACTGATATTATACATATGGATTATACTCTTATGTAGATAGATAGAATAAGAAATGTGCAGAATATGACAGTTTAATGGTGGAGGTACACACATATTGATAGATGTCTTGTAATGCATTGTTGAGGAACCTGTGACCCAAGTTTTTCATTCATTGCATAACTACACCGTAGTTGTGTATATGATATGTCAATAAACCTTTGAAAATCTTGAAATCTTGAAAGGGATGTGAAAAATAGCCATAATATACAGTCTTTAATTAACTATTAGTAGAGAATAACGAGTAATTAATATACTTTATTACTCGTTTCCATTCATGTCAATTGCAGATACATGTTTAGTCTTCTCAAGCACCAACTATCAAATATCTCTCCTGATTGTTGGCACTTGACAATCACCTTCCCTGAATTTTACTCAGGTGTAACTAAAGTCTGATATAAGGGTTGTTTATATTTCACATCATTAATCAGAATCTGCAAAGTAACTCAAATAAGTGTAGTGGAGTAAAAATACCAGGTTAACCTCTGAATTGTAGTGGAGTAGAATTACAAAGTATCAATGAGCTGTCATGTGGGTATATATTAATGCTATATATTAATGCTGCGCATTACGGACAGCGATTTTCACCCATTTATTAACATTTGATAACACCAATATGTTTAATACTGGCAACTTCTAATTGTGGGAAAAACGAAAACGTTCAGTAGAGACGTCCCATAGAACATTTTGCGAAACACAATAGTTAGTGTGTAGTTCTGGGGGGGGCGTTCGATTCCAGTTTTGGATAGTCTGGCGTGGTTTCGTTCCATTTCAAACAGCTGTTTGACGCTCGGCGTAACCTTGGCGCACTGCCACTCCAACATCCAATCCCAGACCTTGAAGATTAATCACGGGGACTGTAGTCCTAAACGATAGCTGGGGATTATGGGTAGTGTAGTGTCTTCGGCACTCAAAAATGTTGACAATCGCAATGATGCTCGAAGTGTCCCTTATAGGCCTACGTCTGTTTCCGGTTATTTTTATTTTGAAATTCAGTTCCTGACGAACGCCAAAAAAGCCCGAGATTATGGAATTAAACCAATAAATAAAAGCAAGGATAATTGTGTGTTATTGGTGAGTAAATAACAGTGTGTTATTTTGAAAAGAATAACAAATTAGAAGGAAAAAAAGATTTAAAAAATACGAGGCTCTGAGCCACATTTATTTCCCTCACAACAAGGTCTAAAATAAAGACCTAAATGAATATTTGGGATGTTCTTGCCTTTAGATTCTCCCAATAAGTCCAAGTACAGAGGGTGACTTTGCTGTGAAAAAAACAAAAACACATTTCCACCAAAAAAACGTTAGCAACCATGAATGTACACATTCATGAAGTAATCTTCGTCATAACTAGCAAACTAAACATCATGTACATGTACTGCACAAATAATCAGAAATAAAAACTCATTACTCGCATAAAATGACATCAAAACGCATTTTAATGGCCAAATTAACCTTAAAATAGGCATTTTCCACCGAGAATAACACGAAGGTCGCCCATTGTTGTTGATCACGTGGTCTGGGAGCTGTTGCAGCGTCCATAGCAACCACCTTAGCAACCATGAATGTGTACACATTCATGAAGTAATCTTCGTCATAACTAGTAAACTAAACATCATGTAGGCCTACATGTACTGCACAAATAATCAGAAATAAAAACGAATTACTCGCATGAAATGACATCAACACGCATTTTAATGGCCAAATGAACCTTAAAATAGGCATTTTCCACCGAGAATAACACGAAGGTCGGCCATTGTTGTTGATCACGTGGTCTATGAAGGTCTATGGGACGCCCTGCCCGTAGAAGCCTGACGGTCAAGGTGTCCGCTGTCCGCAATGAAGGTCTATGGGACGCCCTGCCCGTAGAAGCCTGACGGTCAAGGGGTACCCTGTACGTAATATAGCGACGGGGAGGGGCCCTGACCGTCCGTCAATATGTGACGGGATGGGAGTGAGAACGTGTTACGCACACACACACGCGCGCACACACACACACACACACACACACACACACACACACACACAACACACACACACACACACACACACACACACACACACACACACACACACACACACACACACACACACACACACACACACACACACACACACACACACACACCACTAATTCAGCACCATGAACAGCAACATATGGCCTCAATGCCAGATATATCAGTAGATGAGAATTAGCCGCGTTCACACCGGAGTACTTTTCCCACAATAGTTCACCAGAACTACGATATATTTGCGTTCACACCAAAAAGCCCCAGGAACTAAATTAGTTAATGAGAACCTTTGTACCCCCTTTTCAGTCCCTGCTAGAGAGCAGGTACTTTCGTGGGAGAAAAAGGTTCCTATGTCTGATTGGCTGGGTGGATTGCAAACCGCGCCCCGTAAAACTCCCAAAAAGTTTTGTGAAGCCGCCATTTTATTATCCTCGCATTGCATTTGTTGAGATATAACATACAGACATGTATAGACAGTATAGTGTATGACTCCATGTATTACTGTGTACCATATATTGTTTATGTAAGTAGCTGCGACTACTAACTGTGGTTAGGGCCAGGTAGTGACATCACAATCACAGAGCTGCCAAGTCTCACCCTTTGAGAGTGAGAGTCACGCAATTTAACCTCTTCACACGCCTCACGCCACACTTGCCATTTCACACGCTTTTCCCCCCCTCTCACTATTTTATAATTATTTTTTTGTTTAATGATATATTTCCATAACTTGTTGCTTGAGGTTTGCCGTAGTTCGAGTCAGGGATAGGGTGAGCCCGCCCTATTCTGCCCCCGATTGGCTGACCGAGAAAGGCACCACGTATACAAACCAATCAGAGGCAGCTTAGGGCGGGTCATTGCGTCTGAAGCGGGAGGTCAAACGGTAGGTAATCACTTCATTTTAATTTTACAAACACATAATATTTTTATCTGTATTAAGTCAACGGTGGGTCTGACTACGTGAGCGTTACACAAGCTGCTGGTGAGCAGTGTGGCAGGTTGCTGCGGTGGGTTTAATAACAAATAACCGTGACTTATAGCCGTGTTAGTTAACATTTAAATCATCACGCGTGTGTGAGCTAATGGATGCTTGCTATGAGCTAAGGGAATTTACAGTACTGTACCTGTGTTGTTTGCATTTCTGTCTAATAAAATATTCAATCAATCAAACAGTAACATGTAGCTATCTTTTAAGACTGGATCATTCATTCCTTAACTGTACTTCGATTTCTGTCTGATGTTTGTCTGTTAGTTTGAAAGTCTGAAAGATGTCAGATAAGAAGAAGAAGAAGCAGCAGAGAGATCTGCTGTCATTCTGGGCAATGGAGGGTCAACCACCCCCTGCCAAACTTGCCAGGTCAGAGGAAACAGTGGAGGAGGCTTTGGAACTCTCAGTGAATGACAGAGCGGAGGAAAATGAGTGTCCAGAGGGCACAGAGAATGAGACTGCAGAGGAGACAGAAGATGATGATGTAGAAGAGATTAAGGCTCCAGAGGACACAGAGGATGAGACAGAAGAGCCAGCAGAGGAAACGGTGGAGATGAGAGTAGAAACAGGGAAAAAGCAGAGTGCTAAAAGTGCACTTTTAAAAGGGAGTGGACAGCAGAATGGCCATTCATCACTATAGGCACCACCACCTCCTACTATTGGTGCTCTATATGCAGACATGAGAACAGCTGTGCCCATCAAGGAAAGGCAGATGTCATCAGGCATATGAAAAGCAAAGGGCATCGTGCCAAAGAACAGGCAATACAGTCAACAACCACGATTGCACCTTATTATGCCCCAGTCTCTGTTGGTGGCATGACAGCACAAGAGGCCAAGGTATATATTATGAACAGTGGCAGTGGCTGAATTGCACTTGTAGGTTATATCAGCATAAATAATAGTAAATGAAACAAACTGTCACAAATGCCTTGTCTAACATGTTAATTTGGACTGTTTTTATTTATGTTTATTGTTGTATGTAATTGTGTATTTCTAGGGATCTTGAGTCGGCAATAAATGCATTTATTCAATCCAAAAACACTTAATGTTTTATGGATTGTTTTTACATGATATGCTCTTTGATGACCCCCTTTCTGTTGCAGACAAGGAGAGCTGAGGTAAAGGTGGCAGTGTCAATGGTCGAACACAATGTGCCGTTTGCAGTAGCAGATCACTTCAGCCCATTGCTAAAAGAATGCTTCAAAGATTCCCCTACTGCACAGAACTACAAGTGCGCCCGCACAAAAACATTGTGCATAATAAATGAAGCAGTGGCCCCACATTTTAGAAAGGAACTGGTCATGAAGATGAGGACCAATCCTTTCACATTAATCACAGATGGATCAAATGATACAGGTCATTACACTTTCCACACTTTCCAGCACCCATTTTAGATATTTTATTAACCACAGAACACACAAACAATTTCAGTCTGATGTGTACCTTAATATGACATATATGTACCATATCGTTGCAGGAAGAGAGAAGATGAACCCACTCACTGCGGGTATATGACAGTTCCACCAGTAAAGTTGTCCACAGGTTTCTGGATATGTGCCCCACCAGCGGGCCAAGCTGCGGCACAGCTGAAGTGATATACCAGAAGATGGACGAGGCCTTGCAAAAAAACGCCATACCATGGAGAAACTGTGTGAGTCTGTCTGTTGATAATGCACCTGTCAATACAGGAGCAAGAAATTCCATCGCATCCAGAATTCTTAAAGAACATGGCAGCATCTACATCCATGGGTGCCCCTGTCACGTCATCCACAACACTGCCAAACAGGCTGGCCTGGGCTTTTTGGAGGTGAGTTGAATCATGTATGATTTCTATGACCAACCGTATCCGTTATGCCTAATGTCAAGTCTAACAGGTTGTTTGTTATGCTGTGGTGTCATGTGATTATAAATCATCATGTATTGCAGGTGTGTGGATTTGATCCAGAGGATCTGACTGTGGATGTGGGATACTGGTTTAAAGGAAGCACCAATCGTAAAGGTTACCTGACAGGTATTTGCAGTCCAAATGAAATGCAGAAGAGTTAGATTAAATTGAAATTAAGATGTTCCATTCTTGTCATAGAATTCTGTGAGCTCCATGGAAGCGAGTATTTAGAAATACTTATGCACGTTTCCATTCGATGGTTGAGCCTGGAGAGGTGTTTGACTCGTACCCTGCAGCAGTATGAACCACTGGCCAGCTACTTCAAGTCATCAGGTAGGCATTATATTTCAATGATCCAAATGAACGAACGATTATTATAACAGACTGAAAAGTAAATGTATGTAGTATGCACAACCTGTGTTTTTTTTATTCACAGATGAGAAACAACCAAGGTTCAGGAGGCTGTTGGAAGCATTCTCTAACCCAATGACAGAGGTGTACCTGCTGTTCTATCAAGCAACGTTGCCAGTCTTCTCCACCTTCAACCTCCTCCTCCAGAGAGAGAAGTCCTCCATCTTCCTTCTACATGATGAGGTAAATTGGGAAGGTTGGGATACAGTATGCTAGTAATAATGTACTATGTTTGTTCCTTTTTTCATTAGCACTCTACTTCTAGGTTAAATTTAATTTTGAAAATCTTTTCTGAAATACAAATTTGTAGATACGGAGTTTCATCCGCAAGTTGCTTTCAAAGTTTCTGAAGCCTGCAGCACTGCAGCACCAGGGACTGCATGAAATCCTCTATAAGGACCCATCAAACCAACTGCCAGGTAATCCTCCAAGTTTCACATCAGCAGATGCACATACACTATCCACTCACTGATCTCACTCACATAGTACTGTTTGTGTTTGTTAGAGGGCTGCTTGTGCAGACAAGTTATGAGTTTGATAATCTCATCTCATCACACACATAGGACCACAATGGAAACAAGTCCACAGGACTTTCCTATGTTATCCTTTTAGCCCAAATGAGTGACTGTACCTTGTGCTGTTTGCATTTCTGTCTAATAAAGTATTCAATCAATCAATCACTGATGTGATGAAGATACTTAAAGGGGTGCTTTCAAGTTAGCTATTGTGGTTGTTGATGATTGCTAAAGTGACTCAACACCGGTCTTATTCCCAGTCTCATACTGACATGTTGGTGTTGGGAATGAGAACATATTGCATCAATCTTTGAAGAAACTCCCCATGAGAGAGCCCCAGATAAAACATGCCATGTTTCTGGATGTCCAGCAGAGGGTAGAGTGTGGAGTGGAAGACACCTTGTACTTTGTCGACAGGTTAGTTGGGGTATCAACTCAAGTACATTTATCTATAGTGCCAAATCACAACACAAGTTATCTCAATATACTTAATAAGTAGAGCAGGTTAAAGACTATTGGCACATTTTCTTAACATTTTCTTAATAGATTGTAAAGTTTAATGACCACATCTGAAAAACAACCTGTTTCAGCTACATTACTTTACCAGATCAGTGCACATTGTGTTCTTTTTAGGTTTCCTGAACTTCTCCCATACAATGGACCTGACGAGCGTGACAAACTGAGTGAGGAGTTTCTGGACTACCAGTCCATGGACATTGCCATGCCCGAAGACCCAGCCACGTTCGACATAGAGAACTTTTGGGGGAACATGGCATCAATGAAGAATAAGGTAAGAATTATTCTGCACCCTTTGAAATACCCATTGACGTAATCAACTTAATTCTATACAAAAATACTTGAGAGTAATTAGGCTTCCTACATTTTTCAAAGGTGACCGGGATGAGTTGGTGTTGGTACTTCCGCATTCAAATGCTGATGCTGAACGAGTGTTCTCTGTGGTGGGACTGAACAAAACCAAAACCCGAAACAGTTTGGCTCTTGATGGAACTCTGTCATCCATCATGACTGTGAAGATGGCAAACCTTGAGCCACAGTGTTTCAAATGGGAGCCCCCTCCCTCTGTCATCAAGGCATCAAAATCGGCCACAAACACCTACAACATGAGACATGTCATGTAAAAGAAAAAAACATAAACAAAGACATGCACTTTATTTTTTTATAATATATATTATATATATATTATTCTGGTTCTAATGTTGTTACACTTAAAGAAAAAAATGCACTAAAGGAAAAGGCTGCTATTGGTTCTTAAAAGGCTGCTATTGTTTCATTATATTGACATTTTATAAATAAATGTATTTTATTTGTTAAACTTTTTCTTGTTACAATTGTTTTCATTTCTACTTGTGCTGGTCAATTATTAACACTATATAAGCATGAGGAGGCCGACAGTGCAGGGAGAGCAGCTGGCATGGGGGTGAAGACATCACAACAGTCTTAATGTTAATTTAAATTGAGATATTCCTCTAAATCGACGTTAAAAAAGGCCAAAAAAAAATCGCCGTCGAACGCATCAACCCCAAAAGTCTCACTCCTACTTTTTACTTAAACTTGGCAGCCCTGCAATCATGTGGTACACCCAAGCGGCAAACTGTGGGGTAGAGCCGGGAAGCCAATACGGAAGTGCCACACACTGCAGTTCATATATTGGCCGATAGGCGATGGCTGCAGAAAGGAGCAATTTCCATAGACCCCCATGTTAAAATGCCCAACTTTACAGCAGAAAAAAACATGTTTCTACCCCTGGCTCCATACATTTTATTAGGGATATAGTTAGATTCCACCTTCATGATTATGGATCTGTGAGTGAATTGTTTTCTAACGCGACCCTTTTATTTATATTAGGTCTTAAAGTTTGTTCATAGATTAGGGCGTGGTCACATTGAGTGACGGCTCTGTCAAGTGCCTGCCGCTGTTAGCTTCTTGTCTCTCTGCTACCTGCTCCGTGAAGCTAGCTACAGGGACTCTGCCTGCTCAGCTCATCCAGCAAACACAACTTGTAGCCGGCCGTGGTTTGTTCTTCATGCTTATATAACGGACTATTGTGACTCGCTCTGCGGTTAAAACAGACGGTGCATGAATGCGGCAAGTGAAATTCGAGTGCTTTATTTATGTGTTAATGATTTTTAATCGGCTACGTAATGAATGGTAAGGGTTAGTTAGTGGCTAGTGGTAGCTACATCGGTGCTAACGATTGTAATCGTAGCCTCCAAGTTAAAATCATAGACTGTATATATAAAGGTTAAAACTAAATAGACAAGTGTTAAGTGGGATAATACTGTTGAACAAACGGCTTCTGTTTGAGGTTGATAAAATAGGTTACATCCTTGTAACTTAGAGATATTTTATTATATAGGTAGAACTGTATGCATCTAAGGTTAATTTAAATTGGCTATGCTCAAGTATGTAGACAAGCTAATGTCGAAGTAGTGTATGTGAAATCAACCTCACAATAAGATGTGTGTATATTACAATTATTAATGTCATATTTCAAGATGATTACTTAGATATTACAATATGGTTGGTTGAGCTGGAGTTCATTATCAAGCTTACACGTTAACGTCACAGTCATCTGAAGAACGAACCCAAACCTTGTTGTTTTTATTAATTGCATTACCAAATGGGTATCAAATAAACAGTAAGCATTGGTAACACAATTTCCAAAGTTACAGTAAAATAAAAAGGACCCTGACTCGGACAATACACGATCCAACATGTTCAACAGAAGATAATCAGTTATATTGTTTGTACACATGGTACTTTACATATATATCTGTTTGTTTAAAGTGTCCAGGTGATGCAGACAGGCTGGACCAGAGAGTGAGAGACAGAACTGGACTCCTCACAGCAGTGAACTTCAGCACAGGTACAAAGACTCTTTTTTCATACTGTACAAAGAATCAAGAAAGATATTGGTTTAAATGAATGAAGTATTGACTTGAATACACTGATATACATTCCATTAAACAATACTAAATACTAGATTACCTACACATCAGTGAAGTTGAGGGTTTTTTCCATGCAAAAAGTTACATTTAGATATTTAGCAATATGACTTTGTCAGCTTTCTAATTTAATGTATTGAAGGCAAAGATATTTAACACATAGTGAGAACTGCTACTATTTATCTCTCAATATTGTCTGTAAAAACGTGGTAAAAGTTATTCTTTCAGTGAGACAACAGAGCAAGCTTCTACAGTTGCACTACGTTTTGATAACAGTTCAATATTATTTTGATAATAACATATATTTCAATGTTGATGAACTTCATACTGTTCATTCATAATCTGATTGTCTTTGTAGCTCATTGTTGAAATAAAAAAAAAACATTACAATTACAAAATAATTATATCTACAGCCCCTAAACACACAAACACACCGCTTTCATAAATAATACACTTGTTCTGCAATAATATGTTTTATGTTTCCTGTAATTTTTGTTAGGAAAGGACATGCCTGAAAGACACAACATGTTCTCCTTCTCTGAGGGTCAAGAAGAACATCCAAGAGGAACATTAAAAGCTGATGTTATGAGATTTTAAGACCAGTACAGGACATTCACTAAGAAACTACTTTTATTGTAAAAACAGTCAGCTGATCGAATGCAGCTATTTCCACATCTACACTCCATCAGCTGATTATTTCTATTTGCCTCACTTTATGAGCTTCACAACATGTACCTTGTTTTGCAACGTCACAAATAAATGGGGCCAATCTTCAGTCAGATGTGAATGTGTAATCTAACATTTTCAGTAAGAATAATGGACAAAAGGAGTGCAAATACAAATACAATTTATTGAAATGTGAACCAAAAGCACATATGGACAGAAGGTGTAAACCTATTAAATGTATAAGTAAACACATTTAGTCAAATAAAGTGACAGACTAGGCCTGTGCAGTTGGTATCAGCTTTGCCCAGCATGGGCTCCTTCATCAGCCCTGGTCCTCCTCGCAGAGGAAAGACCCTCAGTCCTCTCCAAACCAACAGACAGGACGTCCATCACACGGAGGTTTCTCCCTGAAGTCTCTCCTGATCTCTGGACACCATGCTGTCTCAATCCGTCCACACTGAATATGAGAGGGGGAAAATGAAAATAATAAATGCTTTAGACAATAAGAAACATAAAGTTGACTGTTGAGTTGCTCAGTTTTTTTAGATTGTCAATACTATTACTGTATAACTAATATCTCAGGTTAAGAGGCACATTCAAATAAAGATTGGTCTTTAAATACATTTTTATCTTTTGAATTGTTTGTCTAAAGTCAAGGATCTAGGACTGGTACTTAGTTTTAATGATATAGTCTGGTTATTATGCTGTTTGGAGGAGGCCTCACAGGTAAGAGCACTAACTAGCTACCATCACATGTACCTTAGTTTGACTTAAATGTATTAAACGTATAGTTAAAGAGCCTGTGACACGAGTTTCCCCCATCATCCAAACCCATCAATTTGAGTAAATATTGTCCCCTTGAAAACCGTTACTGAACTGATTTTGGATATTTGTACTTTGATAACCATTAATCTGCCCTTCAATGTTGACCATTTCCTGGATCTTCTCGGGGATTCTTCAAGTCCCGCCAAATTACGTGTGACGTCATTGCGGGCACAGCGCTCCAGCTGCACCGTTCAGGATCCCAGCATCTGCATGTAAATGTATGAGGGGCCGTACAGGCCATAATTCATACTGGTCCTCTCACGCACATACATTCTCCTTTTACATACATATATTTTCACTGTTACATACATACATTCTCCTTGTACATACATATATTTTCACTGTTACATACATACATTCTCCTCTTACATACATATATTTTATAATATGCATGTCTGAAGAGAATATATGTATGCAAGTGAAGAATGTATGTATGTGTGAAGACAATATATGTATGTGAGAGAAGAATGTATGTATGTGAGAGAGAAAGTATAGTGGAAACGGAAGGAGTATGATTGAAACGGAAGGCAGGTCATTCTTGCGCTGTGATTGGCTCAGAAGGTCGAGCGGGGCGGGCTCATGTTCAGAACTTCTGATTTCAAATCAACATGATGGAGGGAGATGAATCGCGTAGATTGCAGCAAGCATTAGGGGTTTTAAGGAACATTTTTGTCAACCCTTGAAACTGTCACATCCCTGGCCAGGTGTCCTTGCGGGTGCGTTCGCTTTACTTATCAGAGCGTGCCGTAAGGGCGGTTACTCTTTGGTTTATAAACTCCCGCCTGGGACGGACTGATGCATTAGATTATGTGCTATATGGAGGGGACTTTGACAGAGTATTTCTCACAAAGTACACAGTAAAAGTACTTCAATGTATTGTTAGTAGCAGTCAAACTAGTACCGAGTCCAACAGTGTCAGTTTTATGAAGAACTTGTGGTAAAATATATTTGTAAAAAGAAAATGAAGAGCTACTGATTTGAAAAAACGGCTCTCTGTATAGTTTAAATCTCCTAACAATGTTGTCCATGTATTCTTCTCCCCTCGAGTCCAACAGTGTCAGTTTTATTAAGAACTTTCAGTAAAAAATATTTGTAAAATATGAAGAGCAGCTGATTTGAAAAGACAAACGCGAGAGACGGCTGAGTGACCGCAGTGCAGAATCGCTGTATAGTTTAAATCTCCTAACAATGTTGTCCATTTTAGACACATGCTTATTATATTTACAGCCTTAATAACATTCATTTTCTGGGCTCAATGTGTGTCTTGGCCGTTTTCGTTGTGATCGCTAAATTCACCTTGTTTCCCCTTGTTTATAATTATGTTCAACGTTCCAAGCAAACGAGTGCTTTTGTTTTGAAATCACTTCCGCGAGTATCGCGCCCCCCCCCCCCTCGCTACAATGACCATTAGACCATTTAGTAAGGTAAAAAGCAAAAACGCCTCGCAGACACTCTTCCGTTTACTTGTTTAATAAAGAAAAACAAGTGGTCCGTAGATACACGGAGTCATCTAACCCTAACCCTCTCCCTCCATCATGTTGATTTGAATCAGAAGTTCTGAACATGAGCCCGCCCCGCTCGACCTTCTGAGCCAATCACAGCGCAAGAATGACCTGCCTTCCGTTTCAACCATACTCCTTCCGTTTCCACTATACTTTCTCTCACACATACATACATTCTTCTCTCACATACATATATTGTCTTCACACATACATACATTCTTCACTTGCATACATATATTGTCTTCACACATACATACATTCTTCTCTTGCATACATATATTCTCTTCAGACATGCATATATTATAAAATATATGTATGTAAAAGGAGAATGTATGTATTTAAGAGTGAAAATATATGTATGTAAAAGGAGAATG